TCATTTTAAGTGGGGGAACTTGCACAATCGGTGGCTGACTAAATACTTTTTTGCCCCACTGTATTAGATCATTTTATCTTGTTTTTTAATGCTGTCTGAGTATAATTTGCAATCATATAACAGCTGAAATGTAAGGAGAGCCATTCATGCATTATTTAGAAAAGGGTCTGTACAAACAAAACTGTTCAAAGCATTAATTAAATATTTAAAATTGGAGATGAAAGAACAGGAAGGATAACTGGAGAGAACATTAAATGCTAGCTGATACTGTGCTCTGAGGTCTCAGACAGGCCGCAAAAAATAAAATTAAAAAACATACTATGTAATAAAACATCAGTTACTGTCACTGATGTCCTCTCCCTGCTCAATAACTGAGATAGAGCAGATATTTTCCATCATAAAAGTTAAAATAGGGAATGTGCAGCACATGTCACCAGTGCTAGCATTTAGGAAAAAGATAAGATGAGATAAGATGAGATAACCTTTATTAGTCCCACGCGTGGGAAATTTGTTTTGTTACAGCAGTGGACAGTGCAAAGTTACACAGAAAAATTAGAAGAAAAAAAATCCCACTGGAATAAGATATCAATAAGATACTGTGCAGAACTGTACATAGTAGAATAAAATAAAATAAAATACTACATACAATAGAATAAAATAGAATACAAATGCTATAGACAATTGAGTATACTAAAACGATGCCAGGAAAGAGTATTGCACAAAAACAACCAACAAAACCCATTAAAATGTATTGGTGGTCCCATTGAACCTTTTCTTTCCTGTCTCTTTTTTTGTATGTATTTTTTTGTGAAGGGGAAGTGGTTTGGTGAGGATATGCAGAGCTGTGGAGGTTTAACCCTCTAATGCTGACCACATACATATCATGCACTTCTTCTTTCTGTGAACTTCTCATGAAGACAGCTGGTGACAAATGTCTGTTTGCTGTTTTTTTCTTTCTTGAATTCACTGTCCTTAAGAATTTAAGAAACTGGGGGGAAAGAACCATAAAGTTTGGTGTACAATCAGTGAGTAATCATAAATTTCTTAATGAAACTGGAAAAGAAAACAGTTTACTTATACTTCACACTTACTACTTACTACTAAATGTCAGCCTAATGAAAAGTCTAACATTTACACAGTTCTGTTTTTAGTGCAAATTGCTCCAGAATTAAACAGTTGTAGGGAGATCACTACTGTGATCTAGTTTTTAATGTTAATCTTAGTGCAGTGTTTCATTAATGTATTTATATGAACATGCAGAATATTTTCATTTATCTAACACTGTCATATGTGAGTCTGAATATTTGCTGTGTCACCTGCTAACTATGCTGTTCCATCACATACTTTGTCTGTGCATAGACCAAAGTGTACTTTTACCCATACACTTATGTAACTGTATTGACTCATATAATCACAGGATATCATTGAAAGCACTGCTGCAGTGTTGGTATATTTATAGCAAAAAGTTTAGCATGCATTAAAAAGCTCAGATTCTTCTTACTGTACCATGAAGGTGGAAAGCAAGTCAGCACGGCATAGTAAGACACATCACCAGAGCCCTGAAACAGTAACTACTATTTAAGGATTCTGGTTAACATTGAAATTAATCCCACAAACTAGGCATGTGCAATCAGACATGTTATTTTCACTAGTACACTATTTGTAACTTTGTGTTTTGTGTTGGTTTGGTTTTTTGTTTACTTGTTTTTATATTCTACTTAAAAAAATTTTTTAAATGACCTAAATCGATTTAAGAAACCTTGAATATTAATGTAATAATATTCAATGTAATAATATTCATCGTAATAATGTTCACCTTGTTCAAAGTAATCCACTGAATCTATGAGCACATACAGTGGTATGAAAAAGTAATCCTGCGGTCTTTGTATTCTCAAGTAAACATAATCACATAACTTAATGTTTGACTAAGAGTTACCAAAACTAATAATTAAGCTGATCTATCTATCTATCTATCTATCTATCTATCTATCTATCTAGTTAGATAGTTAAAAAAAACTTAGCATGAGTAACATCCTATTTCTTTGGGTAATTGATGGTGGAGTAGAGGTTGTTGGGATCAGGGGAAATTCCAGCAGGTGAAGAGGATGCTTTCACAGTGCTGTAGGTCACAGTGTCACCATCATCATCACCACGGGACTTTAAGAAAATAATACAAAAACGTCTTAAAGACATAACCTGACAGGAGCTTTGAAAATCATGAAGTTATTACTAACACCATCTGTATGAATATCAAATTCTTACCCTGGATTTATTCTTGGACTTCTTGGTGAAACTGATGGAGACGTAGGAAACACCATCATCAGCATCAGCCTGCACAGTGAATACAACACAATGACTGCTCAGTAATATGTGGATTTATAATGAGTCTGTTTCACATCTGTTTAAGTAAGTTCAGCGTCAGGTCCTCATCACATCATAGTTTCTGCTCTTCTCTGTTGAAACTAACTTTGTACCGGGAGTAGTGTGTGATCTCACCGTGTTCTGACTGGATCCTGGACCAGACTGAGTATCTGCAGGGTTTAAGCTCAGTCCCTGAAAAAATACAGTTTTATTTTTAAAATCTGCTCAATGTAAACAACAAATTTAATCTAAAGAATATTTAATCAATTTTTCAATGTATTTCCCAGTCCTTGTTTCTTCCTTTGAACCTTTGATACTTTATGTCACTGAACTAGCTGGGCCCATGCCCTAATTTTAGGTTTGACAGCATTTTAGTGGTTTGGGGAAGGCCTCGAAGGGGACTGGCGGTGGCTCCCAGGCCTGGCACATCCCCATGTACGAAACAGAAGTAAAGAAGATAAAGAATTGAAAAGGGGAGGGAGGATGGGGCACGTAAATGAGAACGAGCGGCCTGTAGAACTGGGGGAACCTATATACATGAGAACCAGAAGGAGCGTGTTTGGAGGCGTGGTCCCGCTCCTGAAATTCCAATATTTAATCTCCAATTATAGGCTCAATCTGGTATGAAACTATAGAGTTAATAGATGATGATATAAATGACATGGCTGAATTTGAACTCACCGTGTTGTTGCCACTTTGTGTTTTGTTTTCTGAAAAGAGAAAAAAAGATGAGTTTACTTATGAGTCAACTTATCATAAACTTTAATCTGTGAATGTTTTCACCTTTAATTTTCTTCCATCTGATGATCACCACAACAATGATTAACAGTGTCACTAAACCCACAGGAATGATGATAAACCCTGACCAAACTGGAGAGATTATTAAAACATGTTAAACATTGAATTTTTCCACACATAGTAAACTTGTTGTCTAAGAACCAGACAACCAAAAAGAGAGATTCAGTCTCTACCTCCTGATGTCTTTACTTCCTCTCTTGTTGTCCATATGTTTGCTATTTTCACGGTTGGTTTAATTGTTGATGTTGTGGATTTTGTTGTCGATAATGTTTTTGTGGTGGACTTCACTGTTGTTGATTTAGTCGTTGTCACATCTTCACCTAAAGAAATACAATAACAACATTAAAGACACTGACAGTAAGGAAAGACTTGAAAGTAACAACAACAGAGAGGAAACAGTGGTGAGATGTTTAACAGTCTAACAAGTCTCATTTTTGATGATGTCTCCTGTCTGAGGATATGTTCTCTTTAT